ACTAGACTCAATAATAATGAACTTTATGAATTATGTTCAAAAAATGAACTCGGAATTATAATTTATTTATAGTTAAAAACTTTATTTCTATGAAATTTGTACTCTTTGCAATTAATTTTATAGAAATGGAACCTCGATTACATCTCACAAAATGAATTGTAAGAAAAATGACTCGCTTAAAGAGCGACGTTTCGCGTAACGAGTGACGATGAGAAGAGAAGTCCCGGATTGCACGCCTTTTACATCATTTTTAAAACTTATATACACATATTATGTATATTTTTTAATATATTTCACTACACGAGTAAAACCGGAATTTTGGCAACGGATTAAACTCGTTAAGCGAGGTTCCACTGTGCTTATGACAAATGACCTCATCGTCTTTTTTATATGTTACTTCTACTAAAATAGTAAATAAGAATAAATTGTAATTTTATTTTCATTTATCTTGTTATAGTCAAATTAGATTTGGTAATCACTTCGGTTTTAGAACAATTCGATTTCTAAACAAAAATTGAAATAAAACACACTTCAATAAGCAGCACTTTTTTACTGCAATTGAAAATAAAAATAAAATTACATTTGGTAATAACCTTAGTTCTAGAACAATTCGGATGCCGAACAAAAATCGAAAACAATAAACGACATTTTTCAAAAAATATATTTCAAATAATATAAAAAATTGAAATAAAACAATCTTCAAGTACTTATGAAATATGCGGTCAATAGTATTATTGCAATAGAATACATTGAATTTACATGTATCTACTTGTAAAATTACATTTGTGATGGAAGATACATTTGGTATAATAATGAATAATTATTTGCAAATCATTATTTGGAATCAAGCATCTGTTTTAAGCCTAATGCAAATATATAATACACAGAGAAGCGAGAGTGAACAGAACTCTAATCGATTTGTATCTACACGATGTACATGTAAATCTAATTTGCTAAGCAATGCTGACAGCACAAATTCGCTTGACAATACTTATGATGAATATTATGTTACATCCATGAAAGTGTTCCAATTAGTGTTTAATTAATATACATTGGAACGAAATTTCAAGACGTTCGTCAAATATAATTTATAGTTGATCGCAGTGTCTTCATTAATAATATACTCTCAAAAAGTATTGATTTGTTCAATTAATTGGAACATGACAAACCTTTTTCTTTGATGAATTATTTAATATGTATTTAGCTAAATATATTCAAATAAGTGTATTATAAGTATTTTGATGAGATAAATATTGTATTCCATTCAATAAGTGGAACGTGTGTTTCCATTTTCAATATATATTGAAATTCAATATTATTTCATATTGCATCAAATTGATTTTAAAATAAAACACATTTTTTTGACCAACCGAACAGTTTACATACATTTTCTAGTATCAGTCAACAAAAGTCAAAAACAAAAAATGATTATGAATTTTCATCAAATCTAATCTTGAAAATAATATAATAAATTACTTTATAAATTGTGATTGAAATATTCCATATAT